TAAAATTCCAAATAAATGCGTAAATTCACTAGCGAATACCTCTAAATATATACCAACAGAGTCACATGTGCTTTATAGTAGATCTGATACCAACAAGAACTTTATACTTGATAATACTAATTGCAACACGTGTATACGACAGACAACCACGTCCACGGTAATAAAATTCCAAATAAATGCGTAAATTCACTAGCGAATACCTCTAAATATATACCAACAGAGTCACATGTGCTTTATAGTAGATCTGATACCAACAAGAACTTTATACTTGATAATACTAATTGCAACACGTGTATACGACAGACAACCACGTCCACGGTAATAAAATTCCAAATAAATGCGTAAATTCACTAGCGAATACCTCTAAATATATACCAACAGAGTCACATGTGCTTTATAGTAGATCTGATACCAACAAGAACTTTATACTTGATAATACTAATTGCAACACGTGTATACGACAGACAACCACGTCCACGGTAATAAAATTCCAAATAAATGCGTAAATTCACTAGCGAATACCTCTAAATATATACCAACAGAGTCACATGTGCTTTATAGTAGATCTGATACCAACAAGAACTTTATACTTGATAATACTAATTGCAACACGTGTATACGACAGACAACCACGTCCACGGTAATAAAATTCCAAATAAATGCGTAAATTCACTAGCGAATACCTCTAAATATATACCAACAGAGTCACATGTGCTTTATAGTAGATCTGATACCAACAAGAGCTTTATACTTGATAATACTAATTGCAACACGTGTATACGACAGACAACCACGTCCACGGTAATAAAATTCCAAATAAATGTGTAAATTCACTAGCGAATACCTCAAAATATAAACAAAGTCACAAGAGCTTTTTTTTCATTTGATACTGAGTTTGTATTGTTCCAAATGAAATTAGTTAGAAAATGTTTATATAATTTACAGACACCCTACCTCACAACCTATCTTATCGTTAAGATAAGACAAGCTGTCATGAAATTTACTTTGAATTTTGGGTTAACCTAGAGTTAATCTAATCCAGCTTTTAACAACTGGCCCAGTATTAAAGTGAATACATTTAAAAGTTTTCCAAACCCTTAGCAAAATCTATCATAAGATTGCAGTTCTTGTGAATTACAAGTAGGTTACAATCAATGTATATTTATTATCTCTGCAGTCAAAGCAAAGGAAGTTGTACTTACAAGCATTGGAACATGCCTGTCAGTTCCTGGTTCATCAAATTCAGATCGTTTGGATAACATGAAGTCAAAGGCCAAAAGGGGAAACACAAATGTAAAGGAAAAGCATTAGACATTAAGTTGTTCAAGAAATGCTAGGGAGTTAAGGATTTATTGAATCCTGAAGTAGATCATGCATTTCAACAGATGAAATATCAGAATTTCAAGCAGGGTAAGTACATCATGGTTACAGTGTGTTCTCAGTTTTTAACTCAGTTTACTCTGATATTATACAGAAAGCTGCTTTTAACACAGGTATGGGATAATGTATCATACCAGTTTTCACATACATGTCGTGTATCATACCAGTTTGTACATATTATTATAATGTACTGTCAATGTTTTTTCTCACATTAACCAACCTGCATGTGCTGTCAATTCTCTAACTAGAATAAATTGATTGATTTTTATAAATTGTCTAGAATTTGAAGACAAATACCTTGGCTGCACTGTTTTGAATGAAAGATATATCCAGTGTGTGTGTGGCCATACTGTATCAATAAGCCAAGGATTGGGAGTAATTTTACAAGTATGTATTAGTAGTACAATCTACTTGAACATTGCATTATTACATATACTTAAAAAACTCATTAATAATTCAGGAGGAAAACACAAAGAAAAACCATAAGCGTGTCGTATCTTTATATGTGATAAAAAATCATGTTAATTTACATAAACTTTAGCTTTGATTTTCTCAGTTTAGACAAAGTTTATTTTAAAAATTACTTCACCAATGAACTCATATAAGATGAGTCGTTTTTTAAGCCATTTAAAGCACTTGTAGTCGTGTAGCTCGGTTGTGCCTCGCGTTTTATATCTGATAAAACATTCCTACGTGTGCTTTAAATAGTACATATTTAGTCTGTAGTTGTATACAAAAGGTTTGGGTAATATAAAAACAGTAGCAGTACAGTTTATGCATTCTATGCATGTTCTGCAAGCATTTTAAATAGCCTACAAAATGATCGGTCTAGGAAATAAGTTTTTTGGCAAAATACTTTCTGAAGTTTATGTAAATGAATTTTTTTCTTCAAGTAGATTTTTAGTAAACAACAGGTACTATCTTTGAATCTTCAATCTTGATGGCCTATTATCTTCTTAGAACACTGGATAAATCAGAAATGTATTGAGGTTGTAGAACAGATGTAAGCAGAACCGAATTGAAAAATTCCTATTGCCACAACCTGTGAATGAAGATGAGATCTTAGAAGAAGACAGTGCAATATTATTGGAATAGTAAGCCTATATAAACATTTTAATTATAAAGTAAGCCTATACACTGTACAGTGTACACATATTATAATATAAATGTGTTTGTATTTTTTGTCATAGCCTACTGGTACTGTAGGAAAATTTTAAAATACTGTATATGTCTATATTAAATAAATATATAATTCGTAAAAATAAAGATTACGCATAATATGCAAATTTCAATGTGAAACTTCATTGTGCTTTGTGAATTGGTAATGATCCACTGAATTGGTAATGATGCACTTGATGATATTATATACTAAGTAGTACTGTGCATGATAACAAGGCTACTTGAGCTACTGATTAAATTCCCAGATCGTGAAATTTTGGACCTGTCATTTCGTTCTAACATTGTTGATTTTATTGCTTTGCTGTCTAAAGCATTGTAAGTAACAATCAGGCATTTTAATTTCTCAATAAACTCTGAATGTCGAAAAATACAATTCTTTAGATTCTCGGACTGTTGTGATATTGAACTATAATTTGATAAATCTATTAACTTTTGTCTCTAACATCAGCAATGAACCGCCTTCCCCTGCTATGTGCACGGATATGTGTGAAATACCACACACCATATCTGAAGTTGACAGCTTAAGTGGTTCGAGTGATGTGGAAAGTGCTACATCGAGTTTATTGATATCTGATTATAGTGACACAGAGATTGAATCAGCATCTAGTGACTTGGATGTACACACAGCAGAAAAGTATGCAGACATTATTTGGTGGAAAGTACATAGTGTGCATAATTTCTCACTGCCTAGAACTCATAGAATGGATTGGGTTAAAAGTCACATGTAATACACTTGCTATACAGTATATTTCCCTTGATTATACACCCTAAACTTTGGAATGAAAAGAACATTAATTTACTAATTAATTATCAACATGAAAACATACAGTTTTCCTTACACCTCTTTTGTTTTCACAGGATTTACAGATTTACTGATCCAGTCTGCAAAAAACTTCAAGAGTTTCTAGAAAGTGGTTATCTTTCTAAACAACATATTTTTTACGAACTGGTAAAAACGCTCTGGGGTTTGTTTCAACTAATTCTACCTCTAAAGATAAAATGTTCCAATGGGATGCTGAAATTTCAGAGTTTCTGGATACACTTGAATATTATGGTCATGAGTCCACAGTGCATCTTCTGAGAGGCCCAGGCTTTTACAAGACAGCAGATGAAGGCAAGGCTGATAGATCGAAATTTGATTGGAGTTTGTGGAATTGGCCTTTACCTGAAAGAACGGCAAGACAGGCAAGAAATAAGGTAAGCTATACTACAGACAACAGTGTATGCTGGTCTTTAGTTCAATATTTTTTTACCATTATATCTGTTCAAAATGTTGGATCCTACCAATTATTATCAACTGAGAAACTAAACTAAAAGTGTTCACTGTATCTTCACAAGAAGATGGAATGGCTCTCAAACCAGGTCTTAGCATTGACCCGCATCAGGCAAAGGTAATTGGTGTGACCAATTCAATAAATTTACAATTTACAAGGGATAATCCTGCAGCCGAATAGCTAAAGAAAACGATTGTAAAAGAAGCAAATTTGTAATTGCATAGAGACTCTGGATGGGAAATTTTCTATTCCGGTAGGAATTTGTTATCTTCCAAGTGAATTGAAGGCAGAAGACCAGCTGGAACAATCAATCTTGAAGGCACAATCTTGAGAGGTAGAGGTCATTGCCAGTGCAGCTGCAAAACTTGGATCAGCTCTGAAGATGTATGTGCAGAATATGTTCACTACAATCTCACCAATTTGTTAACCCACGCTTATGCGCCTGCAATCAATGCCTAGAGAATGACAGCGATATTGCTTCCTTTCTTGTTTTGCAATTCTCTCCATCTTCTTTACATTCTGCATAAATTTCTCAGCTTCACTGTTTCGTCTCGGATGACTGGGTTTCACCGGTGTGTGAATGAATCCTCTCTCGCAAGCATATGCACTGAATTCATCTCCGTTGAATGGAGGTCCTTCATCTGATTTCAGCTCCTTCACTGTACCAAATGTTGAAAACCACAAATCAAGGATCGATTTTACACACAAGAAAGCTGTAGATCTGCAGTAGCTTACGACAGGATAACAGCTGTAAAGATCATATCTAACCAGTGCGTAAGTTCCATCTTTGAACGGTCCCTTGAAATCCACAGAGATTGTGTGCCAAGAACCTGGTGGCAATGGTGTTGATTGAAGAAGCTCGTCATAGGTACAATCATGAGTGACTTGACAGCTTTGACAATTCTGTACAGCTTCTTACAGAGTTTAGCAATTCCAGGAAACCAAATCTTTTCTTGACGAAGTTTCAGCGTGCAGGTCTTTACTGAGTGCGCAATCTTGTGTGCTTTCGCAACAAATTTTCTTCAACTGCTCAAAGATGGAATTACTTCTTATGTTTCTGCAAGATCTTTCTGAGCTCTTCTTGTTAACCTTTATCTTCAGATTTACACTTTCTTTCTTTGTCATTGTTCTGTCTTGTGTCAACTTTCTTCAGAAACTCTCCCTCAGTGCTGTATTTAATCATACCAAGATTCATCAGTGTTCTTTCTTATAATATGCACCTATCAATGTTAAGCCGGAGGGGGGGGGGGGCAACGGTAGGGGATTTGATAACAGGGGTCTATAGCTAGTCGGGGAATTTGCTTAACTCTTTGACGGCAAGACGGTTTCGCATTAAATTACGACTTAATTTTTCTATTGTAAATATCTCGGCGAGTATTTACCCCCCTTTTAAATAAAACCCACCATTGAAATCCTCACAAAATAACCTTTCGAACGGGGGGTCAAGTGCCGTCAAAACATTACACAAACCGAAACAATCATATATTTACTCACCGCTGTCGTACTTCCGGTTGGGATTAACTCACTTCGAGCTCACAGTCGGACAAGAAATGGAAATATATTGATAAAATATACAGATTTGAAGATACAGGCTTGCAAATAACACTCTAAATAGTGTTTTTAATGGGGATTCGAACAAGATTATTTTCGGCGAAAGGTATGGCTAAGTTTAGATTTTTGTTCAGACAAGTGCGTAATTTGATACAATATGATCGTGTTTGACTTCAAAGGCCCATAAATCGCTACAATATTGATAATGGCTATAGCTATAGTGACGAATTAGTTGAATCTTTTATTTCTGAATCGAATGGTGGTATTTCTGTCTTCATAGCATGCACCGAACCGAAGATATGAACATCCAATCATTCATCCGCTAGCGGATGAATGATTTGGGATTTGCCGTCAAAGAGTTAAAAGAATTTGCCCGAGCACGGGCTATTTGAACTTTTTTAGCGCAATTTAATTTAGCATATAAAAATAGCGAGTTTGACAGAGGCCTGGTAAGCAGTATCAATTTTCCTCATGGCATTCATTTATTTTTCAACATAGCAGCCAAAGTATGTATTTTTAAAGTCAATTTTGATTATAAAATCATGAATAAATCTTTTTTGTTGTCACCTTTATGAATTATTAAAACGTACTGTAAATATTGACTTGCTGACTATAAATAGCGGCCTATATTTAGTGATATTTGCATTCGGTTGCATTCTCTTTCAGGCATTAAATAAGCCGTATAAAATATGGGATGTGACACACACACAGAAGTGACTGTAGTTGAAACTAGCGTAGATGGGATAATTAAAAAATGTGTGTGTTCATTCTTTGATATATTATAAAGATGTGTAATGCAAAATTGGTTGTTAATGATTGATCTGTAAATTGAAAACAAATCTTATATACTGTGTGTCCAAATGGAGTCAAATCACTACCTGAAAAATGCATGCAAAGAACAGAACAGGAAGTTAGGAACTTTGAACAGGAAGCTAGGAACTTTTAAATTGCAATCTTCCTCAGAGGTTTTTGCAATCTTCCTCATGAGATTTGAAAATGAAGTTTTCAAATTTGCAAATGGAATTAGGAAAATTCCAAATGAAATAGGAACTCAAAAGAGGAACCAGGGCCGGATTTACTTAAGGGCAAGACCAGGCAGCTGCCCAGGGGCCTCCACAAACAGGGCCCCCCAGATCATTAATGGTGGCTAGAGGGCTATACCCCCAAATATTTCAGATGTTATTTCAATGATTGTTACATTCAAGAAACAGTCTCAGAAAGCAGGAAATAGCATTTTCAGAGACTCTGCAGTGGGGAGGGGGTTAACATAAAATGCGGCGGACAGGTTTTTTGTCGGATTTAGCCTACACAACTTACGGTTGCCCAGGCCTCCACAAGTCTAAAACCGGCCCTGAGAGGAGCGCTTGACATAGATAAATATTGTAATATTTTTATTTGTTTTCTTTACTGGCTCTGATTAGGAAGGTTGCTTGAGAAGGCAAAAGAGAATGTGATAAAGAAAGGTTACAAGTTTGTGAAAGGCCAATCCAGGGGAAGCAGTAAGGAATTGAGTGACAACTTTGGTGGAGAACAAAGACACAAGTGACAGAAGATTGACAAGAATGAAAGGCTAAAAAAAGGTCCAAAGCATTGAAAGATATTATGAATAACATAAATGAACAATTGCAGTTCAAAAAAGTACGCCTTCAAAAACAAAAGTCCCTAAACCAGTTTTCAATTTGTGACCAGATCAGTGGAGAGATAACAGCGTTGATGAAACAAAAAAAAGATTTAGGAAAAACAGCTTTCGTTGGGAAAAAAGGAAAAGAAGTCAGCATGGTATCACACTAAGCGTAGAAAAAATCAATCAACATCTTCCAAAAAGAAAAATAAAGGTCAGGATCTTAGACAGATGTGGAAGAACAAATCCAGCAGTACCAGCAATATAAATGTGTCAGATTCTAACAAATCAGGAGAAACTGTTATTATAAGCTCAGATAATGAGCAAACAATATCCAGTGCCAATCAGTCAGTCCATTCTGAAGCAGATCAATCCAATGCTAAATCCAAAATGGATGAAAGAGATGATTTTCATTCATCACCTCCGCATGAAGATGATCAAGAGGAAGAAGATGGAAATCAAGAGGAAGAAGGTAGATCATCTTTTGTCACCTCAACATGTGGAAGATCAATCAAGTGATCAACCGGAAAATTCAGAGAATCCAGAGAAAGAATTAGCAGATTTAAGTTCCATCCAAGGATTTTTAATTACTCCCCTTCAGATCCCATTGCACACTGTAGAGTAAAATCTTGTTAACGTGTTTGAACGAGAAAAAAGAAAAATTTATCTTACATGAAAAAATAAATGAAAGCATTTTTATTTCAAGGATGGAAGGGGTAACTCTTGTTGATTACGTTAGAGTTTGTAGTTTTGTTTGTAAAATCGCCATAGGCAAGATTGTGCTGAGTGTCCTGGAAACCTCAAGGTGGCACAGTACATTTTAGAACATAGTTATATGAAGTTAAGTATTGCTTTTGCAATGTGTAGTCCATATGTGTGGCTAAGTATTCAGCCAAAAGTGCTCGCAGAAAATTCCTTCAACTACCTTTAGCAGCTATTGGGACTGGCAATCTGAAGGAAGGGACTTACGCTCTTTATCTGGTGGAGAAAATGGTCTGTTGAGCTATTCGCTGTTCCAGGAATTGCTAAACAAAGCACTTAATTCTCCTCAAGATATCGTAACACAGTGTATAACAAAAGAAGAGGTTGATAAATTGCTGTACCTCGCTGAAAGTGAATCAGAGAGAGAACCAAAGTGTTTATATCACCTTTTTGTGTGATATCAAGAATACTTGATATTTCAGTAAAATTGTCTAGTATATTTAGTTGATTGCAAATTTTTTTGCAAGTTGTAAAAAAGTGCCCATGCAGGATGAAAAACATGGTCGCCATGCATCACTGATTCACTTCAAAGATTATTAATTCAGGGAACTGATTTAAATTATCGCGAGTTTATTCACATATTTTAAATCTACATCAACATACTTACTATGTGACATCAATTAATACAGCGGATTCTGTTTGACTGCAAATCAACAACTGTTCTAAACGCGCGTTGAGTGGTTTAAATCTTGACGTTGCTAAGGTCAATTACGATTGTTTCCAGGGGCGGAACCACTGTCAACGTGTTTATTTGACATGTTCTATTCTTGTATATGTATTGTTTTAATACTTTGTAATGTTTGTATAAACGCTTCAAAATGTGGAAAGTTAACAGCAAAGGTCGATCCTACAGCCACGGAAAAGCCCTTTCTATTGATACAAGGACACATATTATAGATGAAATTTGCATTAAAGGGGGAGACAAAACTACAGGCATTTGTCCAGGAAAAGTTATTGATATAGCAAACGAATTTAAAGTATCTTCATCTACTGTGTCAAAAATCTGGAGGCAGTACTGTGCGTCAAATGATTTAGCTCCAAAGCATGGAGGGGGAAGGAGCCGAAGTTTATATAACAGTGATCTTCAGTTCATTGAAACATTGAAGAGGCAGAGACCGTCCATAAGTTATTCTGAAATCATGGACTGTTTACATGAATTTGGAGACCTACCCGAAGGAGAAACCTCAGTAACATCAGTTTGCAATGCCGTTCAAAATAGACTTCTGAGTGGCGAGTTTACATTTAAGAAAATGACAGTTGTTGCCCAAAAACAATTCACGTTAAATAATATGGCATACACACAACTTTTTGTTGACTACCTACATGGAAAGGATCCGTATGCTTTGAAATACTTTGATGAATGCGGCATAAAACTGCCTGAAAATGGCGCATGAAAAAGCGGCCACACGCCAAAAGGAGAGAGGGCAGTTGAGATTCGAAGATACTCTGAAACCGCCAATACTACAGTTAATCTCATGTGTGGTGGCTTGACTGGTGCAACTTATATAAACACAACTAATACTTTCGAATTTTTACGATTTTTTGAAGAGGCATATAATTCCATAAACCCTAACACGGGACGGCAATGCCTTGATATCAGGGATATAATAGTGATGGACAATTGTCAAGTTTTGAGGGATTTCTTGGATGATTTGAATATAGAACTAGTTTACATGCCTTGTTACAGTCCGGATTTCAATCCAGCAGAATATGTCTTTGGTAAGATAAAAAAAATTGCTCAAATATAGACTTTGGGATTTGACAAACACTAACTTGATTGACTCGTTATACACGGCTGTAAATCTCACAACTCCTGGAGACATGCAGGAATTTTTTAGAATTACTGGATACTTAGCTGTATAGTCACTGTAATACAGTGTGTATAAAAAAATGTGAACCTTTCAAATTCAACTTTCAAAATCACGGGACAAACTCAAACCTTGTGTTCTTACCCAACCATTAATTCTGGTTGCAGAAGGAATGCTGGTCCCGTCAACCACCGTTCGTTTTGTAGGAATTTCGGCATTTCTAGTCCCCGGCTTGCATCATCAGCAGGGTTTAGAGGCCCAGGGCAATATCTCCACTGGTCGGTCATTGTAAGCTCATGTATTTCTGCGATTCGATTCGAGACGTAAGTTTGAAAGCGTCGCGTCTCATTGTTGATATAGTTAAGGGTGATCATTGAATCGGTCCAGAATAATACTCTTTTGATATCAAGCTCCAGCTCCGTTCTAATAGCATTATCCATACGTGCCGCCAAGACAGCCGCCTGGAGTTCAAGTCTCGGAATGGTAACTGTCCTTAATGGCGCATTCTTGACTTTCCTGCAACGAATGAGCATTCTATCTTTCCATCTGGATAAGTGATGCGTAGGTAAGATACGGATCCATATCCCACTTCTGAGGCGTCGCTGAAATTATGTAGCTCCAGCGAACTTCCTTCGTGCTGAGGCTTAGTAAAGTAACATCTTGCAATCGTTATTTTCCTCAGGAGATGAAGATCTTTCTTCCAACTTTGCCATCTTTGTAGAATCTCGCCTTCAAGTTGTTGATCCCAGGAGTACTTCTTTCTCCATAACTCTTGCATTATCTTCTTTGCCACCAACATTACTGGTGCAGCGAAATTCAATGGGTCGAAAATGGTGCAGATTGTCGACAAAACTCCTCTCATGGTATCATGTTTCTTCAGCTCTACGACTTTAAATCCTAATTCATCGGATTCAAGGTTCCAGCGTATGCCAAGTGTTCTTTCAATAGGCAGTTTATCTAGGCTAAGATCAAGATTTGGGTCGGCTCGTTTCTCGGCTGCAATCGACGACAACACTTCGCGATCGTTACTCATAAACTTGGTCAGGGTAAACCCTCCCATCTCACACAACTTGATCAATTCTTTCGCCTGACGGACAGCTTCTTCAGTGCTATTCAGAGATTTTAGGAGATCGTCAACGTAGAAATTATTTTTCACCGTCTTTGTAGTTTCTAGATCAAAGCCTCCCTCATTGTCTTCTGCAGTCTTCTTTAAGGCGGAATTTGCTGCACAAGGGGAGTCCGTCGCACCGAAGATATGAACAGTCATCACGTATTCTTCCGGCGGTTCTTCGGTGTCGTTTTGCCACCATAAAAATCTCAGTGAATCTTGGTCTTCTGGAGGAACTTTAACCTGGTGGAACATGCTTTCGATGTCTGCTGCCAAGCCTACGTTTTCTTGGCGAAATCTCATTAGGACACCAACAAGGCTGTTCGTACGATCTGGTCCTTGCAATAGGTTCTTGTTCAGTGAGTTGTTTTCAAATTCTGCAGCAGCATCAAATACTATTCTTACTTTTCCCGGCTTATTAGGATTTGGTACTGGGAAATGGGGTAGGTACCATTTTCTTGGTCCGGATGCAAGGACTTCGTCAGGTGAGAGGCGGCGTGCATATCCCCTTCTTAAAATAGTCCTCCATTACAGAGCGATATTTTTGTTCTAGACTGGGCTCTTTCTGAAAACGTCGCTTCAGACTCTCTAACCGCTTCTCGGCTTGCTTTCTGTTGTCAGGCAAAACTGTGTCATCAGCTTTCCATAGGAGGCCTGTTTCATAATGACCATCTTTCATTGTGAACGTTTGATCTAATATCTTCTGTGCACGCTCATCTTCTTTCGACATACCTTCGGTCGAAAGGTGACGTTCTTCGTCCTTTCTGGGTCTAATGGCTCTTGTTCCATAGCCTTCTATATTCCAAAAGTTCTCAATTTGGTCATGTGGCGTTTTATCACGGTCTGTAAAATTAACGCTGATGTCTGTTTTCGTTGAAACACCGTCTATAGTTCCTGTAATAACCCATCCCAGAGGGCCTCGTTGCCCTTGCAGTTGTCGTCCAGGTCTCTTCGATTTACGAATTTCAAGAATGTCGTGTGCTCGCTCTACGTCCTTACCAATTAATACCGAGACATTTGCAAGGTTAACG